CCTTTACTCAAATTTAGTGATAACCCGATCCCAAGTCAGTCTTGCTAAACACCCGTGCACCCATCAATTGATCCATCAAGTCGTCTATTCTCGGAAGTGGATACTTGTTTTTTATTGTCACTTTATTCAACTATCAGTAATCAACACACAGTCTTATACTCCCATCTTTCTTCTTCACAAGCAACACCGAAGCTCCCCAAGGCGACACACTTGGTATCACAAACTTATTTTCAAGTAACTCTTCTAACTGCTTCTTCAACTATGACAATTCAGATGATGAAATCCTATATGGTGCCATAGAAATAGGTTTGGTACCAGGTACGAGATCAATTGAAAATTCTACTTCTCTTTCTGGCGGCACATCTGGAATATCATCATGAAAGACTTCGGGAAAGTCACACACAATCTGCAACTCATCAATTGCAGCCTGATTATCAATGGATAAGGACACCATTAAAGAAAACAATTAAGCTTCATCCTTCATTAGTTCACTTAAAGGCCTAGCAGATAAGAATCCAGCATCCTCCTCCTCGTCAAGAGTAGAAAACCACACCAACTTATTATAACAGTTAATTTGAACGTAGTTATATTCCAACCAATTCATACCCAAAATCACGTCCAGACCAGTCAATGACAAAAAAGTAGATCAACAACAAAATCTCTGTCATAGATAGACAAAGGACATTTCAAGCATACTAGAGAAGTAGTCACTGATCCCTTAGCTGAAGTATCGATAACCATTTCCTCATTCGTAGAAGATAATACAAGACTCAACTTTTTAACATAATCAACAGCAATAAAGCAATGTGTAGCACCATTATCAATAATAGCAATTAAATGAGTATTATGAATGAAACATATACCTCTGATCAAGTGGTCCACACTGGATGTCTGAGTCCTAGCTAAAGCAAACACTTTCCCAATGGATCGGTCTTTCTTAGGTTTCTGGCACTGAGCACTGATATGTCCTTCTTCATTGCAATTGAAACATATTACCTCCTTATGTTTACAATCGGTTATCTCATGCCCGAGTTTTCCACAAAGGAAACACCTTTTCACTTCAGCATTGCATTCACTACTTTGATGACCGGGTTTTCTACATCTGTAACACACAATACCAGCAGGAGCACCTGTCCCACTTTGCCTCTTACCATCAACAACTTTCTATTTTCCTTTGTCACTCGGAGCATTGTAAAGCTTCCCACGATATTGTTGTTGTTTGCCTCTCTTCTTAGTGACAATCTTGTAGTGAGCCTTACTATCTTCTTCATAAATCCCACAGTTGTTCACTAAATCTAGAAATTTACAGATCCGTTGATACCCAATTGCCTTCTTGATTTCTGAACGCAGTTTGTTTTCAAACTTCACGCACTTTGAGAATTCAACAACCTCTTCGTTGTAATAAGGATAATAGTTCGCCAATTCCACGAATTTGGCAACATATTCAGTTACCGATAAATCCCCTTGTTTCAGTTCCATATATTCAATCTCCTTCTTCTCACAGACATCCTCTAGGTAATACTTCACCAGGAATTCCCTATAATACACAACCCAAGTAATAGCCTCTCATGTGCCTTCCAGTCTCTGGCGAGTAGCAACCCACCAGTCATCTGCCTCTCTTGCCAGCATATGTATACCAAAATGCACTTTCTATGCATCAAAACAGTCCATAACCCGAAAGATCCTTTCAATATCCTTGAGCCACTCCCGCGTTCTTTCATGATCATGCTTCCCTTTGAACGTAGGTGGATGATTCCTCTGGAAAATTTCCAAAGCACGAGTCCCTTTGTTCCCACCAGCATTAGGCTGATTCTGCATTGCCTGAGCCAAAGCCTGCAACGCATTAGCGAGTGCACCATTGCCTCTTCCAGCCATTGCTTTTCTTAACATCACAACATCAAACAACAGTTAGATAGAAAAACATCAACAATATTCCAATGTCACACTACACTAACGACTCAGCAATCTAGCCGGGCATACCGACCTACTTTGATACCAATTGTAACACCCCATTTCTCCATCGATAATTTTAATCAAAATCAGAGTAAATTTATTTCTAAAATACAACATTAAAATAGGATGTCACATACTTCGTAAATCACACATGCTCTCTAATTAGGATACGCAACACAAATCACATGTTCATAAGTCTTAAACTCCAGTGTATTTATTCACAATGGAAAACAACGATAGATAATTATTCTCAACCCTCAACATGAGTGGTATTTTTCATCATTCAAAAATCAGCATAATCATAAGGAAAATTCAAAACAATAGAGTTACATAAAGTTTACTCTCAACATAATAAGACAAACACAAAACCCCCCAAGTGTTACGTATCAGAGAAAACACTGACTCAATCTACACAACTGAGACGACTCTTCAGCTAACCTCAACCTCGAGCTACTCTGGATCATCTGCATGCTACCCACGTAGAGGTAACATTCAAACAAAAAGGGTGAGATATCACAACAATATAAGAGGAAGCATAATAATGAGCAGATAGTAATTCAAGTATTCATCACTGTATTTATTCAAGACATCAAGTGCTAACAATTATAATAATGCAATGAGACTGACACTACACAAATGCATGTGGTACCAACAGGGTAAAACCCTCTTCGCAATAATCTGAATTTAGGGCAATCCACTTCGCTCACTAATACAGGCCTTCGCTCGCTAATACAAGTCTTCGCTCGCTAATACATGCCTTCACTTTATGAATGCATGAGACACTATCATGCAATAACATACCTCACATTTATCATTCTTACTCATCACAATTTCTCCAATTACATGCCATCTTCATCATCATTATCATGTATATTATGTCACAAAATCAAGACATCCATCGCACTTAACCATACATACATCGTGGCATATAGGTCAAAAATCCATACACAGACTGGTATCAATGTTGGTGAAATAATTAACTAATGCATTATGATTTATTTTTATAAGATAGCAAAACATTTTAGCTTTTCAACGGTCCAGACGACATGTCAAATAGACACCTGAGGCAAAAGTTACTGATTTTCAAAGTTTTCCAAAAATTCTCCCAGCTACAGTAACCTGTTACCCTGCGATGACAGTAAAAAATCTGCAACTTTTCAAATACGAATTTTTCATGCTTCAAAGCCTAAACTCTCAATTTTCCACCAAAATAGTATTTTGCAAACATTCTAATTATTCACCAACATATGCCTATCAATGCTAACCAAAACACATCACCAAATTCATAACCAATCATCCAAAATGCATCAAAATTCATCAATGGGAGAAAACCCCCAAAACACCAATTAGGGAGAAAATTAAAACATACAATAACAAAACCTAACTTCTACCATACTTCATTATTAGGCAACCCATTATAGTGTTAGAATCCCCCCTTACCTTAGATTTTTGGTTGATTATTGATTTCTACGGTGAATCTTCTTGCCCTAGCTTCCTAGTGTTCTTCTCCTCTTCTCACTTCTACGCTTCCCTTATGTTTTTCACGTTCTGACTTTTTTCTCTCTATTCTCACCTCTTATAATCCAGTAATAATGTAACTATCACAATTAAATAATTATTTAATTATTGTTATAAAATAATAATAATTCTAATAATATAATAATAATAATAATTATTCATATTATACTACACACCCCATGTCTCTACACATTTAGCCACACACCCCTATAACCTCAACTCCCATAATTCTAACGCGTCTAGTCTTCAACAAAGGCATCACACCACATTATAAAATCCACTAATTCATGTAAATACACCATATCACCTTATTATTTTATTAAAAATAATTCTAATTAAATCGGAGTGTTACACTAAGTGTCGTGCAAAGAAAACAAAAACAAAGTAAAATGAAACAAAAGCAATAATCAGAACCAACATAAATGTTGGGAAGTTACATATCATTCCCAAAATCTTTCAAGACCAAGTTAGCCTGTGGTTTTTTACTCCGGGATTGTGATTGCTGATATCCTATTTCATCGACCATATCTATCACATATGTTTATATATTGAAATAAATAGTGGTTTGAATGTGTATGCCAAAGTGAAAAAAGAAATTGAAATAATGCGACATAAAAATTATATCTATGAGGATGTTTTTCGGCCATTTTCCTGAAATGATATTAGCAAAAGAGGTGAACTTAATAACTTTATCAGGGATTTCATTCTTGTTATTATCTCTTACTCTTGTTCCACTAGTGAATTTCAACAAATACTTGTGGTTGGACGCTCTAAAGATTAAATTATTCAGTTGAATTTGGAAGATTGAAATGGTGCAAGTCATGTTAACCGGTAAAGCCGAATCAATTTTTTGTGTAAACATTGTCAGAACAATCACGTGAGTATCAAAACCCTGTAAATTTAATAGAATATCTAAAAATTATTATTATGAGTAATAAATGTTAAACCCTAGACCTAAGTTAATGCCAAACCAAAAATCAGGAACGTCAATTTGCAACCTCACTTTTAGCATGCAAAATGAAACTAAATCAATATCAAACCACTAAAATTAAGAAATGGTAAAACGTAAATCATAAAAAATGCAAAGGAAGCAACACAGAAACTAGGAAAAATCATTAAAAAAAAATATGAAACAAAAAAATACAGTAAAATGGGAAGCTTTCTAATGGAAAAAGCATTATAAATATAATTGGCTCAAACTAAAACAAAGGACATGAATAATAAAAGTGAAAACAAAAGAAAACCTGAAAAACCGGAACATTCATTATTCAGTAAACACCATAATAGCAAAAACCAGTGTAAACCACTTCTTTGTCATGGAAGTAACACTTCAACATAAAACGAAAACTGGAAAAAAAAAAGTAGAAAACAATACATATCTGAACATTCACAAACAAAATAGCGAAGATAACATATAAATAGTAAACAAAACAAACTGAACAATAAAACTAAAATAAACTTAAAATAGAAACTCAAAACACACACCAAGAATGATAACTCACATTTTTTACAATAACTATAAGCTCAAAATGCTCATTTGTAGTAGACGATACTTTTCATTTGTGGTGGGCTTTAACAACAATCTTTCAAAGTTCTTTTTGGTCATTGATCTTCTTGATCATCTCGAAGGGTCTGACCATGATGAAGCAAGGTTGGATGAAAATGATGGAAATCGATAGAAGAATAAAGTGATAAATGTTTTATTTTGGAAGAAATGTAAGAAATGATGTAATAAGAATATAGACAATAACAAATGTGAGAGGAGAGATAATGTTTGAAAGGTGGAGGTAGAGAAAATTGCAAAGAGATTTTATATTTGAATAATGATAACGTTTGAATTTTTTTCTTCTAAAAATAGGCAGAGTTTGGTCAGTATATGAATGCAACAGTGGAGCAATATTCCAAATTGTATACAATGTAACAAATATTATGGGAAACTAAGGAGACAATAATGCATTTTGGTTTTGGATAAGTAGAAAAGGTACAAATTGGGCAACCATGAGGCAGAAAACGCAACAGCTTTATTGTAGAACAACCGTATTGAAACAATAAAGCAATGTTTTAAAAATTGGATCGAGTCGTTTGATTCAAGCGGTTGGACCATGAATTAAAGGTGACCTCGGTCCAGCCGGCCTTGTAAAAACGCAGGTGGGTCAAAACTAAAGTAAAACTGAAAAAATCAGATTGAACTGCTTAAAGTCGTTTGAACCAAAGAATGAAAGCTGATTTTGTAAAACCGTCCGATCAAAGAAATACCAATCATTGGCCAATTTTAATTTTTTTTAATAAAAAATTGTAAATAATTAATATGTTAGCATCAATATTTAAAACATTTATATTGTGTAATTATCTCATAGTATTAAATTTGTAATGGATTTTTAAAATATTTATTTATTAGTTTATGAATGGCAAAAATATGTCAGAGGTCCTTTAAGTTATTTCTTAGTAACAAATTAGTCCTTTAAGTTTTTTTTGCAACAATTTGGTCCTTTAAATTATCAAATGTGTCAACCGGTACCTTTTTTTTATAAGAGAAAATATGCAAATTATGGATACAATTATTTTGAGTGGTATAAAAATGATGAAGTGCAACAAAAAATACAATAATCAACATTTTTAAATGTTTAAAATGTGAGAAAAAGGAAATAGAAATCACCTTAAAGGACTAAATTGTTAAAAAAAAAACTTAAAAGACTAATCTATTATAAAAATATAACTTAAAAGACACCAGATGTAATTTTACCTTTGTAAATATATGAGTATGTGACTAGTTCATAAATTTATTTAATAAATGATTCAACCGTAGATTTAATTGGCTAAATCAAATAAATATTGAACCGAAAATCTTGTCGATTCAATCTCTGATTCAATTTTTAAATGATTGCAATAAAACAACACCAAATTTGAAATGTTAGAGCCATCAATGTAATATTACTCTGATGTGAACCTGATTGTACACTTGATCAACAATTTGTTAATTTAGAGAACAAAATACCCTTAAATATATGATGTGGCAGACAAAAGAAAAAAGTTATTTATATCCTATCCAAAACATAAACATCTTATTTTTTTATAAGAAAAATTTAAGTATATTTTTTTTAGATGTGATTTATATATTTTTTTAATGAAAATATAATAAATATGTAATTTTCTTATACATATATTCAATTTTTTCTTATTTTTAATCTCTAAAAAATATTTTAATATATTTATTATATTTTTATTAAAAAAAAATATGAATCATACCAATAAAATTATATCTAAATATTTTTCGTATGTTAAAATTTAAAAAAAATTAAAATTAAAGTTTAAAATATTTAGAAGAACCACAAACATATATATATATATATATATATATATATATATATATATATATATATATATATATATATATATATATATATATATATATATATATATATATATATATATTTATTTTTATTTAAACTTTATTTATAATAAAAAAACTAGGAGCATCTAATCGCAAAAAAAAAAAAAGGGTTGAAAACGGCGAGTCGTTCACCCGTTCGCCCAAAACGCACGGCGCTTTCTTGTCTAGCGGACACACACTCTCTCATTGCGGCGGACTCAGAAAAATTGATATCAGAATCAGGTAACTCTGCCCATGATCCCAATCCATTAATCCTATAATGGGTTTCATCTATCTTTATCGTTTGACCATTTTTCCATTTCTGCCTAGGAAGTGTTCGACGAATTGTCTCTATGAAGTTCCTTATTTTCAGTTTTTGTTTTGCAGGGTAAATAGTTTCGAAAATGCCGACTCTTCAAACTTCACTGCCTCCTGAACTCGCTAACAATGCCATTAGGGTAATATAAAACACCTTCTTTCTCTACAATTCAATGGAAGATTTTTATTTGTGTTTTTAATTTGAAAATTAAAAAAAAAAAACTTTTTTTTTAAAACTTTTTTTATGTGTTTTGTTTTAGCTTTACCGTGAATGTCTACGAAGAGCTAAATATATTGGTCATCGGGTAAGTGATTCTTTCTTCTGTTACTCTCAGTTAGCTTCAATGAATGTTTTGTTTGTTGCTGCCACCTTAATTTAAACACAAATGTGATTTAATATGTGTTCATAACTTTGCATTGATTAGGTTTCTTGTTTGCCTTAGTGAATTTGTTTGCAATTAAGTTTTTGTTTGCAATTGGGGTAAGTTCTAAAGGCATGTAGTTGATATCCATATTATTACATTTAGATGTTGAGATTTAGCTAGTATTGGTGGACAAGATGTTGAGATTTTGCTCGTATGGTGGACATACTCAGATCCTTTGATTACACAGCATCATTTACTTGCAGACTATGAAGCACGGATACAGATATAGACACTAGGCACGACACTGATACTGACATATCAACAACGATAATAATTTGAAAAAGTGATTAAATTGAACGTAATCACTAGTGTCGGTGTCACTGTCTGAGACGGACACAGACACACCTTCTATCAGAAGTGTCGGTGCTTCAAAGCTTGTTGATTGTTTGGTTTAAAAAGAGGGTGTGAGGGTAGGAATTCCAATGGGCGGGGAGGAGAGGGAAAGAAAAGGATAAAACATTAACACTGTTTCCTATGTTATGAGCATGCTGTTCTCCTATCACAATTTTAGATGTCAGCAATGTATTCTTTTTTCAATACTATGTCGTGGCCACCATTCTAAAAGAAGTCAAGTTCATGGGTTTCAATGTCAAGCCATGACTTCTTGCCAGAGACATTGTTGATGAGTGGATTCATTAAGTTGTTGGTGGTGGTATCTGAGATGGTGGATGGCAGAGGACATAATGCTTAGGGCTATAGTGTGTTTGTGACATGACTAATGTTTATTGAGGGGTCTCTCCATTTGGGGACATTGTTGGGATGGCATTCATCAATTTGTGGATGGGGATCTGAGATGGTGGTTGATTGGAATGATTTCTTTCTAGCACTCTTATTCACGCCATTATTGGTGTTGATTCTATCTGGGCGGTGTGGCTACTTCTGGTGTTGATATTGGGGAAATTGGTTATGAGATCGGTGGTAGTAGGGACTAGCAATTGATTGAGAAGAAATGAGGGAGGTAATTGTAATAGCACTAGTTTTGACAAAGATCCTTTGACTCCTATTTATTACCTCAAGGTTCTCAGAAAATATGGATCTATTTTAAATTCTTCGCAGTTTGCTCAGAAGGATTTTCACGTTTTCAAATGAGACTGCCAATATCAGCTAGCTTGTAGAAGGCTTCTGTGACTTGGAAGTTGGAAGAGTTGAACATGAACAACCATAGTATTGAAAAAGTTTTTGTTAAAAGCAGGAATGCACAAAGGATGTGAGTGAATGGCAAACACCCATGCACCCTTCCTTGTCGGTGCCCCAGAAAAAACCCTTTGAAAGAACATGTGTTGTAGAACTTTTTGAATTAGTATTAGGATATCTGACCTTGGAAGAATAATACTCATGTAAAACCATAATAGGAAAATAGTAGGAACAGAAGGAAGGAAACTCTAAGTTTAGTTAAACAGTTGTCCCTTTCTATGCTTATTACACACTCTTCATGTATGATCATGGTGCACATTTTAACTCATTTACTCTCCCTGGGGGAGGGTGTCAAGAATTCGGGATCGGGGAGTTCTAGCTCCTCTTCTCTCCAAATTCTAAATCAATCATGTATGATCATGGTGCACATCTTCAAATTTGGAGAAGGGGAATTCTACTACCTGTCTTCTTCAAATTCTAAATCTATCACTTCCTTTAAAATCATTTTCTTCCTCTTTGTTCCCCTCATACAAAAAAGTTAGTTAAATAACTGTCCTTTTTTATGCTTGTTACAGTCTTCATGTGTGATAAAACTAAGATCTGCGCGCTTTCTTTCTGTTTCAGCAACATAATACACCACTCCTTGTTGAAATGGTGAGACAACAGTTTAAGAAAAACATGCATGAAACAGATCCTGATAAGATTCAAAAGTTTAAGGATGAGTAAGTTTGTGCTCTAACATATATTGTATTTATATTGTGTATGTTTTCTAGGTTCCTAGTCTGTTCCCATTTCCTCTCTGGTTCTCTTTGGTCCAAACAGAAAATGATCTTTTTCTTTTCCTTTCTCTTGTTTTGCAGTGCTGCAAGGGGACTTATAAATCACATACTGTACGAGTCAGAGAAAATTACTGGTCGTAAATTTAGCAAGAGTCCTCCTAAAGAAGCATAATTCGTTTAATCCCAGATGATTCCGTTTGTTCATCAGTGCTGGGTTTGGCAGATTAATCATATAGAAATTACCTTTATGATGGTTATATTAAACTGTTGAAATAAAGAAGTTGTTCAAAATTGCTCCATTGCTTTCTCTATCTGCCATTCTTTTTCATATCAATCACTCAAGTTTGTTAAAACTATTTTATAGTTCCTGTCTAATGATTCAGTGTTTCGTTAACTCAACATTTGGAAAATAATCGTTCCTAAACCATGCCTTATTGTGGTTGATTCTTTTGACGTTTGTATCAGTGTTGAGCTAGTAAACCTGGGAATAGCAGTGATTAGTTTTATTGTTTTTAATTTGTCTTTTTGTTTACACTGAGAAGCTTAATATATGAGACATAAATACGATAAAAGATGTCATGGTTGAAGTTGAGGGCTGTATACTTTATCTGGGAACCATGGACTTTGAAATACTTGTAAACTCATTGGACGGTGTTACAATGGAGCTCACCACCTTTGGATTGTAAATTCGTTTAACCTCTCCGCGGCTTCTGGTGATAATCCCATCCAGAATCTCTCCTTCATCTGCAAAGGAACCTGTCATGCTCAACTCTCCTTCCTGCACCAACCAACCAACAAACAGCTTAAGATTTGGATTGGCCTCAAGAGTTGGCTTTGCTAGAAACAAGAGAAAAACAGGTTTAGTTCACATCTCGTTCCTAAAATAGCTAGTTCAAGTTATTGATATCAGTGTCATTAATATTTCATGACATGTTTATAAATAGTTTGAACACCTTCGTCCATTTCTTTTCGGCCCAGAAACCCCTGATATGTAGACAAGTAATGACGACTTACAGCAGATAGGTCGAATGGTAATGCTGGGATTTCTTCATATTCTGCAGCATCTAAATCTTGAAGGTGTGCACCTGTGAAGAACTTGGGCAGAATGTACTGTCTTACAGGAACGAGAAGCATTATCATCAATGGGAACAGAACACCTGCAATTGGAACCCAAGTGATACCAAAACAAACAAGCAAGTATACAGTCTGGAAGAATGTAAATGCCTCCATTATCTTGAAAGGCACAGTTTCTGCGTAAGTCGCATGGTGTTCCTCCATAACTCTAAAAAACAGCATGTTAGCGAGTCACTCAACAATTTTTCTGAAATAAAGGAAAAACGGAGAGACGGGAAATGGTGCGAAAGCCAATACTTGTATCTTTTGCTCGACGCAGTGAAAATGAGCAAAATTCTTTTCCAGAACTGGTTGCCAGGTAAGTTTTCAATGGCCATGAAAGCGAAATATCCCCACAATACAGAAGTTGGAATCATTTTCAGGATAGGCATAGCTGCTACACACCCTCCTACCATTAAAGATTGAAGCAAGTTGCTTACTCGTTGTTCTTTAACCTCAATAGGCAATAATTCATCAATTTCTTTCTCAACATCAAATATTGACTCATCGCCCGCACTATTTATGCTTCTCATGCTCGATGCCAGATGAATAGTTGATTCTTTCAACTCTTTTAGTCCCTGTCAAAACAAAGTTAGGCAAGGTTGGATGATATATTACACGGCGGAAGATTTTTTTTTGCGTTTTTCATAGAGTTGTGACTGTCAAAACACAAAGCAGAACTTATGAATCATATTCTGGGAAATTGTTGTTTACTATTACTAGGTTTATGTTATATCAGTGAAGGGGGAGAAGAGCGGTGATAAAAAGACTGCATCATACATACCATTGAGGAAGGTTCCTGGTGAGTTAGGGGAGTTTGCATCTGCCAGTAAGCACTTTGCATACTTTCATATACTTGTCCTAAGTTTTGTTGCTTTCTTATACAACTTCGAGCTGTTGCAACAAGTCGGCTTCTAACTAACTGCAAATCACCAAAAATATAAGAATGGATTGTTTCACCGTACAGGTAATCATTATATATCACGTTTCTACTTTTTATTTTGAAGTTGTAGGCCTACCAAAGTTTAAGGAAATGGAAATGCATTAGCAACATTTGTCACAGTCTAAGTTATAAAACAAGACAGCAACGATCACCAAGCTTTCTCCCATTAAGTAGGATTCACTGCATGAATCAAATTAAACCATAATGTCCATGATTATGAAATCTGTAGGGATGTAGAACTGACCTATTCGTACGGGAACGTTCTCTAAGATTCCTATTGGGTATTTAACAAAGCGGTCTGCCAATTGAACAAACATCTTTGTTGGTCTTAGTTCTCCCATTTCAAGTCTGTTGCATCTGGACAAAGGCATAACGCTAATACTAGCTCCTAAATCACACAGGATTTTGTCTATGACAAACTTTCCTATATGACAGAGTATAAAGAAGCTTCCATGATCTTTCAGCTTAGGAGACATCTTGTTTTGGATAATTACGCTACACTCGGCAGTAAGTGTGACTGTTTCGTTATCTTCTAGCTTTTTCTTGTTAGATAAGATTTCCTTGAGGAATTTGGCATAGGAGGGCATTTGAGTTATGGCTTATGTGAAAGGAATTGTTATATTAAGTTGTTTTAGAAGTTCAACGAATTTTTTAAATTGCCATACGTTCTTAGGTTTAACTAGTCTTCCAGGAAATGAGATTTGGGGTTTATAAGGCGGTGGAGGCACATGAGGTTTTTCTTTTTCTTTGGCCTCTCCTTTATCTTCTTTATCCTCCTCCTTCTTCTCGGCTCGATTCTCCTTCTCAGCTGGTTTTTCAGATCTTTGGTACATAGCTGGATTTGTAAGTCTTGGGTCAGTCGGTCCGTCTAACTCAGTTCCACTTCTTAATATGATGGCATGAGCATGTCCTTTCGGGTTAGGTTGTGGTTGACCAGAAAATGTATCAGCCGGTGCAGCTGTAGGTGCTTGTTGTTGAGCCACTTGAGAGATTTGAGTTTCTAACATTTTATTGTGGGTGGCCAAAGCATCTATTTTGTTCGCTAATTGTTTTATCTGCTCGTTAGTGTGTATGTTTTGATTTTGGACGTCTTTGTTTGTTTGCGCTTGAGTAGCTATGAAGTTTTCCATCATCAATTCTAAGTTTGATTTTCTAGGCACATTAGGAGCATTTGCAGGAGGTTTCTGATATCCAGGTGACACAACAGGTGTTTGGTTTGGAGCATACAACGCATTGAGGTTTTTATACGAGAAATTTGGATGATTTTTTCATCCAGGGTTGTATGTGTTCGAGTAAGGGTTTCCTTGAGCATAACTTACTTGGTCGGTTGGAGTTCCTGCCAAGATCTTACATTCGATAACTGCATGTCCAGGCACTCCGCATATCTCGCAATTTGGAGTTATAGCAGCCACGGTGGCTAGAGGTATTGCGGTCGAGTTGTCTATCTTAAGGGTGAGGGCGTCTACCTTAGCATGGACGTTGTCTAGACCGTTTATCTCGTACATGCCTTCTTTCGTTGGTGTTTTCTCTGTGGTAGCTTTGTCTACTTGTCCTCTTCCACTTCCCCACTGATAGTGGTTTTGAGCCATACTTTTTATGAGAGCATAAGCATCGGTGTAGGATTTATCCATAAGTGCGCCTCCCGCGACATCGTCTATCGTTAATCTTGTATTGTAAAGGAGACCATTATAGAAGGTATGGATAATTAACCATTCTTCCAAGCCATGATGTGGGTAGAGTCTCATCAGATCCTTGTATCGTTCCCAATCATCGAAAAGAGACTCGTTGTCCTTTTGTCGAAAATCACTTATTTGAGATCTTAACATAGCTGTTTTACTTGGCGGGAAATACCTTGCAAGAAAAACTTTCTTCAGCTCATCCCATGTGGTAACAGAGTTTGCGGGTAGAGATTGGAGCCAAGCTCGGGCTCTGTCTCTTAGAGAAAAAGAGAAAAAACGAAGTCTTATTGCCTCTTGACTGACCCCATTGTTCTTAATCGTATCTGCGTACTGCAGAAATATTGATAAATGAAGATTGAGGGTCTTCCATTGATCCCCCAGAAAACTGGTTCTGTTGTACAACAGACAACAAAGAAGGTTTCAGTTCAAAGTTGTTAGCCTTAATTGGAGGAGCAGCAATGCTATTATGCGGTTCATCTTGCAAAGGAATAACATAGGATTTGAGCGGACGTGGAGCAGGTTGTGCGGCCATTTCTTCGGTTGGTTGAGGAACAGGAGATTCGAGTAATTCACGAGGTGGAGGATTATGCAAGAGATGATACTCTTGAATGCGGCGTCTAGAGATACCGCTCGATATCGTTGATTTATATGTATAACGGCTCGCCTTGCGAACGAGTGTTTGGCATACAATAAGAAAATAAATAGAAAAGAAATAGAGAGGTTTTGCTCTAGTCTCTACTGCGTAACAAAAGAGTAGCAATATCGATTTAAATCAATCCCCGACAACGGTGCTAAAAACTTGGTCGGATTACGCTGAGGTATCTAAAGATTCAGACTGCAAGTGCACAGTGTTATCGTGTAGTTTTAAAAGATATCGAACCACAAAGACTGATGAATCGAACTACCGTCTTCTATTGTTACTTTGCAAATCTAAAGCTAATGAACGTTTGATTGGGTTGTAGGGAAACTAAATACTAAATTAAGTTTAATTTTAATTATCAGTAAGCGGAACTACCAATATGTAATGGTCGGACCTCGGGTATTTGCAACCGGTTGGGTGTCTTTGCATTTTCAAAACAACTTTCAGTAAAATCTATTTAGTTTAAAAGTCTTCGTCTCACACTATCGTTTTATTGATCTAGGCTATGCAGTTAAGTCCTAACGTACGCTTTCGCCATCCCGCAGGAGTTAAAAATACTTTTTGAAAACTAAATAGAATCTTAATTAACTTTAAAGTGCTTCCGCTGTATTTTAAGCCAATGCCTAATTACTACTGTATAGTTGAAAGATCTCAAACTTCCGCTTTGTCGACCCTAACCTCTATCCGTTCTTTACTTTCGTAACAAAACAATTTATCGATTAAAAATAGTAACTTAGACTAGAAAAAGGTTTTGTAGTAAAAATTACCCAACTGAGTCACTCGATCCCTTGGTTATGTGACCTTACATACCGGTATACGAATTCTAGCCTAGCATAATATCAGACCAAATCACAGAATAATTCCAAAGATAAAACAAAATAAACATGATTATATTAATTAAAAGCAATAACAATTCATAAAAATAAACCTGAGTATAATAATTCTGGATACGGGTACAATTACTTCTAACTCTTGACTAGAAGCACTCCTCCACAAGTTGGTAGGCTTTGCTTCGATCAGGAATAGAGACAATCGTACAGAAAACAAATGCTAGAGGAAATAGAAAATTGCAGGAAAAAATGCTCAAAGAAAAAATGCTTAAGGAAAATGAATTCTCCAAATATAAAAGGTGCCCCCTAATTATTGTGTCCAGGGTTCTATTTATAGTACTTTGTGCGACACGTAGGTTTGAGAAAATATAGGAACACTTCGAGTTCGCTTGAGAAAAAATAGGACCACGGAGTTGGTTACATCCTTCATGTGTTGACTGAGTGGAGTTTAAAAATAGGATGGTCGTTGGATTGGTGTTTGAACTTTCCTCTTCCGTTGGATTTGCAGACTGCGTCGTCAAAAAAGGAAAAGGTGGGTCTGTGACGTTCGTCAAGTCCAAGTGACGTTGGTCACTTGGTCCATTATGCCCGTGACGATCGGCAGCGTGCCTTGACGATCGTCAAAGTCCTTATGCTAGTGGGCCACGTGCTCACGCCTTGTGATGGGCTTATACTTTCTTCTTCTTTTATTCTTTGGCCCTTTTGCTATTTTTGCACCCTTTTTCTTCATTTCTTTCAAAGTCTTTAACTTAACATTTATCTGCAAAATAAGTGAATACCCGCGTAATACCTATATAAAATAATACAATTACAATAAAATAAGGGAAATAATTTATGTAAATCAAGCTAAAAATATCATATATTTGTGTGTTATCAAACTCCCACATATTTGAACTTTACTTGTCCTCAAGCAAATGCTCAGTACGATGTTTTTCTAAACATGGTCAGATGCACATACATGACTCGAATCAACTCATATACGGCTGCGTTGTGTTTTTGTCAGAAAATTAAAAGCTTGATTCATGCTCCATTACTACAGTAATGACACTAGATAATCCCATTTTACGTAAACTAGATACATATGCTATCATAGCCTATCTCGAGTATCAATATTTCGTGGAATTAGTGCAAGCGTATCAATATGATGCTTCGAGTAGAATCGGAGGAATGATAATCGAATAAAATTAAAAATTAACTAAAAATAAAAATTAACCAAAAACGAAAAATAGGAATATAAAATGCGAAATGAAGTAAATAAATAAATACTATTGAATGAAATAAATATCCGAAAAATTTAGAACCGATTGTAACAAAATATTCGAAAAATATGAGCATCAAAATAATAATGTAACCCCCCACATACTGAGAACAAACTGTGTTCTCACTGGGGAGGCACAAGAACAAAACTAGCGATCACGTGGGCCTCCTGGAGGTGGAGCAGTAGAGTGCAAATGCTGATAGATATGGTCGAACTGCTCAGTGACGACATCTAGGAAATAAAAGAAATCACGACGAAGTGTGCCGATGTCGTCTCTAACAGCAGTGAGCTCTCCTCGGAGCGCAGTAACATCAAAATGCAGTGTCTCGGTAGTATGTGCATGTTCTACCATTGGAACGTCAACAACTTCGGTAACAGGGGAAGGTGTAGGGTCGTCTAGTGGAGTATACTCATGGTAACCAGGAGGTGTGGAAGGGTCGCTCTCCTCTCTCTCAGGGTCATGCTCATCTGTC